CGGGGGGGGAGGTGCCAGGCCGGCGCGGGGCGCCCCACCCGGCTTGCTATGCGCATGCGCGTTCCTGCCAGAGCGGGCCGTGGCCCAGTTGGTGCCCGGTGCTGGCCGGTGCATGGTAGTGATTGTAGTTGTACGGTCAGCAATAGAAAAAGTGCTCAAAATGTGCGATAATTCATTCCCCGGGCCGGTGCAGGTGCTGAGGCCCGAGGACAGGGGGCTGCCCCGATTCCGGCCGGAGGCGGCCCCTGGGGCCCGGCGGGCGGAGCCGCGACCCGCCAGCTTCTAATGGCCAACGGCTCCCGCGCACGTGCGACCGGCGGCGCGCGGCTCATGGCTGTTCCCCGTTTCTCCCTCGGGGGTGGCAGAGCAGGGGGCAATGGTTTAAAGTTGCCGCAAGAGCGGCTAGGGGAGATGTCAGAAAAACTTTCTCACGAGGAGAGTAGGGAAGCACTGGGACAGGTTAGCCAGAGAGGTGGGATCTCCATCCTTGTGGGGGTTTAAGACCAGGTAGATAAATCCTGGGCTGGGATGATCTAGCTGGGGATGGTCTTGCTTTGAGCAGGGGGTTGCACTAGATGACCTCCTGAGGTCCCTTCCAACCCTCATTTGCTGCGATTCCCTGGAGGACGTCAGCTTTCCACTCAGCATAGTCTTCCCAACCTGCCAGATCTGGCCGTGAAGCCAGAAAGACTGGAGAGAGAGCAGGGAAGAGCCCACACGATCCAAGCCCAACAGACCTGTTCACTTTGCTGTTTGCTCCAGACTAGGATAATACGTTGCCTATCGGACGGAAAGCAGGGCCTTGCTTTCCAACACTGCTAATGTCACCGCTGGCCTTCTCCTGGAGTCTTCTGATGGTGGCTGCAGAGCGGTGGGCGCTAGCACGCCCACTCCTTGCATCCGGTTTCACTCTGCGGGTTTCTGTGTGGCATTGCTGATGGGGAAGGACAGGCTTGTGACTCAAGCACAGGAACTAAAATGTCAGGCTCAGGCCTTATACTAAGCACGCATCTACTCAGTGAGCTATGTCGCCATACAGCACACTACGCTGACATAGCAATCACGTGTGCAGACACACGGTTGGCAGCTATGCTGCTGTAGCAGCATGCTCCCCTGGTATAGCGCGCTGCTACAGTGACATAACAGCAAAATCTAACCTTGTGCTATGCGCATGGTGCAGTAACCTCCCTTACTGCACTGTACTTTACTACTTCCCAAAGGACTTAAGCACAGCAGTGTAGCAATGTTGCCATACAGTGACATGTAGACAGCCTAATGGATCACTAACTTCATGTATGACCAGTGAAGTCATTACTCCTCTGGGCCCTGCCAACAAAATGGCAACAGAGGTGCTGTGAAGCCGAACACATTAATGTTTTTAAGTTGTTTCTAATTCCACAATGGGAAGATGACATGAAAGTGCAAATCAATATATTATATCTCCCAGAGTAGGGAGTAACTCTCAGTGGCTCTGTGTATGTTTTTTTATTTGATTCTGATGCACTCTATTTTAACTGTCCCTCACAGGTTTCACGTTTGAGTTTTAGGGCTACATGCATTCAGCCTTGAACTGAAATGCATTCAGCCTCGGTTTTGTATCAAAACTGCCTACCCGATATGCCTTCTGCAAAACAACATAACTTGGCTCAATTGAGCTCAAAATGAGGCCCCGATCAGTGAATTTTTCCACAAATCTGGGCTGAATGCTAGGTTTGCAATGAAATCTGAAATTAAACTGGATTCCCCTTATTTTTCAGTGAACGTTTCTAGATGAAGGCCAGTTTTATGACTAGTGGCACTCTTGATTTCAGAATATTTCATTTTCTAATGCCAATGGTGAATTTGGGCTCAAGTATCTTCCTACTCCTCACAGCTTCCTACTCCTCACAGCTTCATTCTGTAATGTAATACCACTGGTAAGTATGGCTTGTACCAGATCAGGAACAGTTTTTAAGCAGAATCACTGATTTTCTTTGGAGAAAAATTTCCCAACTCTGTAATACAGTGCTTCTAATTACATTATGGTTTATAATATTGTGATTGTAATTACAGTGCTATTCCACAGGAATTATGATAGGATTGCATGACGGTTATGCCTTTTGATAGCACAAATTATATAATTGGATTATTTATCATTACCCCATTAGTTTCATGCTTAATGTTCAATAATTCTAGCTTTTTGATACATACACTTAGTGCAAAATCCTGTAGCCAGAATGTGAATTACAATGGTCACCCTTTATAGTAATTTAAAAAATCATAATTGGGTTGACAGTTAAAGTAACTGCTTCTTATAAAGTGTAACTGGAGTTTCTAGGTTAATGTTTAGCAGGATAGCCTGTCAGCATTTAGGACTCAGTTCTGCAAACCCTTAGACACGTGAGAAATGCCATTATCTTCAAAGGGACCATTCTTGTGAATAAGGGTGATAAGATCCTGATATTTTTTAGTCACTGGTGAGTTAAGTGGAGGGGTATGAGAAGAGATATGATAACATTTACAATATTGCACAAATCTAGACATTGTTTAGAAATTTATTAGCAATTTTTAAAATAACATCATTCCTTAGATAAAAATGCAATCTTACAGGAATATACATTTGTCCCACACCGACATGACCCTCTAGCTCACTTGTGGGCCACTCTGACTTCCTTGTGTTGATTTTAAAACGTGCGAGAGGGCAAGACGGACTCTGGCACCGATGACAGGCTTACATTACAGTTACAAACTGTACAGCATTATTTACAACAGCGTTTCTGTGGTTTCATGAAAACTGGGTATAAAATTGTGAGATGTGATGAACTGGGATGGGGGGAAGGGTTTGGGTGAAGATGCTCTGGGCAGGGTTGAGGGAAGTATGTGAGAGGAGGTTTATCTCTGGACTGTTATACTTAGGAGAGTTCATTTCACAGCTCTGAACAATTCAAATGAAGGCAAAACACTTCCATTTATCAACATGTGTAGTTAATGGTCAGAGCAGGAAATGAGGTTCAAAGGCTCTGAACCTGAGAGGTGCTGAACAACCACATCTTCCCTCAAGTCAATGGGGAGGTGCAGGCCATAGTACCTTGCAGGATTAGATCCCCATTAAAATGAAATTGGCAAGGAAATACCCACTTCTTCCTTGTAAAGTCCTGGTCCTGTAGTCCTTAATTACTGAAGTCACTGGCTGTTTAGCTTAAGTCCTGCAGGATCAGAAGGTAAGTGACGTTGTCTCCTCCAGTCAGAATTCATCCAAAATGGCTTCTTCCTTGACTTACCACGTCAGTCCTTTGGAGGGAGACTCCCTCATTTTTAAATTTGTTTTTAAGGCAGTGTTAAAAGTTTCTCTCTTTCATGATGCAGCATTTGCTATGTGTTTCGGTGAGATATTGAAAATCTGACTGCTAGTCATTTGAAAGCTTCCCCTTTTCAAGCTATCACAGTGGGACCCTCCTGCATCTGTCTTTCTGTCACTTCTTTGAGATACCATGGCGCTAAGGGCTTTTAGGGAACACTGAATAGTAGTCTAGAGCACTGGATACTGTATCTGCCTGATAAAAGAGCAGACAGGCCAGGTAGCTTGGGATGCTGAGAACTTTACAGCATGTTTGGGACAGAGCTTGCATTTTTGTTTGGCTGGGCAAAATTTCGGGTAATGTGTCAGAGGTGAGTCGACTAATGGAGAGTTGGATCTTCAGTGAGTTGGTAAAAATGGATGTGGGCAGTGCTGTTTGGAAGGAGGGTGTTTGAAGGTTGGGAGTGAATCTGAGAATGAAGGCAGATCTGCTCTGGGCTGTGACGGGAGAATACCGTCTTGGCCTGTGATGCAACCAGTCGGCCACTGGACCAACCGAAAGCAGCGGCTCAAGGGTGAGATGGACTTCAGGATAAGTGAGAGCAGGCTGCTTGAGTGAGATGAAATAAAGAAGCTACTGCATGGAAATGTGATGTGGTTATGGGCTACTGATTTTGCCTTCTGTTAATCACTAATCATGCTGAAGCAGATGAATGCCTACATCCATTTGTTTATTGATGATTCTCTTTTCAAGCAACACTTTAGGTAGAACTGCTTACTTCTAAAGAGGGCCTGCTCTTTAGGATCAAGATTCAGCAGTTAAGCAAAGTCTTTATAAGGTGGGTTGGGGAAGGGTGACTGGATTTGGACAAGCAACTGAATAATAATATGGATAGAGATTTTCACTTCAGTATGATGCTAATAACCTCTTTGTCTGAATTTGGAATCCTGTCTGTTTCCAGCACAGTACACCTCTCTGTTGTGCAGCTGTCCTTACCTGCTCCCATGCCAGGCCCATTGCAGCAGGGAGACAATGCCAATTTTATTGAGATCTTCAGAAACAAAGTAGCTTCCAAGGGTAAGTCTCCAAACTGTACTCCTACTAAGAGCTCTCTGATCCCTGGCCTTACCACATGGTAGTTTAACTATTTTACTAAATTAAATGAAAACCTATGCAGCAATAGCTTGTTCAAAATTGATATTCATCAGGCACCTTCACAGAAGAAATTAAATGAAGAGAAATAAAAGTTCTGGGCCTGATGCTGCCCTCACTTATGGTTTATAGCAGTATAATCTCATTAGGTTCAAATGAATTAATCTTGATGTGTTGCAGAACTAGTGAGAGGGGAACTGGGCCTTTGTTTGACAAGAATCATTGCTTTCATTGTATACACTACAATCTGAATTTATCAAAACTTACTACTATGTGAAGTGGACTCAAGTCCACCTGACAGGCTATTTACTGCAAAGATCCCTTGATATTCAAACTGCTTATCCAGAGTGTGTCCCCTTGACATTCAGAGTCGAGGCTGTCTTGTGCACATACATATATGCAGTCTGGCTCACTGAAACACGTTGTGCATATATATATACACAACGTATTTCAATGAGCCAGAGTGATGCAGCCACATTTGGACACAGGTGAGTATTATATTATATATGCACACAATACAGTATATAGAAAAAATACTTAGCTGTGTCCAAATGTGGCTCCATCACTGGCTCTCTGAATAGTTTTTCATCTGCATATAAGACGCAAAAGGCCTCCAAGTGCATATCAGAAGCCAGCTAGCAACCTGACTGGCTTGCAGTTCTGTCACCTTGTAGGAATATGTCTGTGTGCAAACGCGCATACATTTCATACAGCAATCTGAAACTTTCAGTCAGAAAAGACACAGGAGCCTGGCTGAGACCCATACAACTGTTATATTGGCGTCAGTCTAAAGAAAGCAATGATACATTGCTTTGGAAATTATCAAGAAATGTAAAAAATGCATTTGCCCTTTTTTTGTTGTTGTTGTCATAGTCATCGAGGGGGCAGGGTTTTGAGTCAGAAAACAAAGCAGAAATAGATGCAATTCTGTACATGGCGCTCCGTCAGCTGTCCTTCCAGACTGGGGTGTGGTGGGGCAGGGTAATAAAACAGGTTGGACCCCTTGCAGTAGCAGCAGCATCTGCATCATTGTCATCATACGTACATCTCACTGAAGAGGCAGATGATGCAGAAAAGGTCTGTGGATAAGGAAACTCCAGGTCTGGACCATTAGTCCTGCTTTTTCCATCATGTTAGTCACACAGAATAAGGAAGAAAAAAGAAATTCATCCAGTGTGACTGGCCTGGTACTTCCTGGAGTAATGACCAGGAGTGATAGGGAAGAGATGGTCATTTTGTAAGAAATGTCTTTAGTCTGCAGTGTACTCTTATCAAGCTGCAAATCAGACACACTCCAATGACAAAGATAATTTTCTCTTTGCTTACACAAAACTCCTCAGCCATTAGTTTCTTTAAAGCTTCCATCCACAGCGTAGTGATTGTACCTAACATTCATGCCAATACACAGGGAAAGGAAGGACACTTCAGGACCTAAACCTACCCTCACCCACTACCTTGTCCCAGACTCTGCCCCAGTGGAAGGAGGCAGTAGCTCTTTGCTCAGGCCAGTGCAATCTGTATGTTGGTAGTACCTGAAATGGGATGCCACCCTCTTTAGAAAATGAAACTTGCACAGCTGGCATCAGCAACCTTTGTTTTGAGTCCCACTCCACTCATTCTGAGTATCACCTTCATCTGCAACACCCTCTCTCCTCAAGAATTTAAATCAGTAGAAAGGAGAGGATTATTCAGTAGAGAGCTAGGACTTCCCCTGCTCTTTTCAGAGTCTGATCATGGAGGGTATAACAGTTTTCACAGAAAGACACGGACAACATAAGCATCTTCCCCTAGCATGAGGCCAGCTACTAAGAGGTGATGTGAACTTACTGAGCATTCACAATTCTCATTGACAACAATAACGGCCTGTACAGTGCAGTAGCCTGTTTTTCCAAAGTGATGAGTCACTCAGTTCCCAGTGGTCCAGATAAACTGAACTTTCCAGAAAATGAGAATGAGTTAGGGAGCTCTACCATCTGAATCCTGCTCTGAAATGGGTAACTAGGAACAGCACTACTTCATCTTCCATAGCACTGAGCCTATGTTAACTCTCTGGAGCATCTCAGCACTAGAAAAACTCTCACCAGGACTGGAGGTTTGCTTAGGATTAGATAGGTATTCAGAAGTCAATCCTGAATCCTTATTCAGGTCATAGGCAAAACTCTTGCAGGGCCAAATCCTGAGAAACTTGCTCTTTTTTTCAGCCAGTCTTTACTAGGACAAAATTCTTACTAAAGTCAATAAGAATCTGTTCCAGTAAAGATAGAGCAAAGTGATCAGGAGCTGGGGAAGGCAACCAACTTTCAGGGACCCTAGTCAAGGACACTGTACAGGCCTCTAGAACCAGAAGCAATTTACACCACTTTTGGTTCCAATTATTAGCTGCCTTACTGCTGCACTGCAAGTAGTCTAATTAACTCTGTTAAGAGGCACAGCTAATTAGTGCAGCCACATTTATACACATGCTTGGAGCTAATTAGCTAGCGGTGCAGCCCTGGAGGAATATGTCTGTGCTGCTTCTGGCTCATGGTGTGGCCCATGGGTATTTCCTGACATGGAAGCAGGATAGCCACATTCCTGGGGCACCCAACAGTACTGTGATATGACCTCTCAGCAGACAGAGCGGGAAGCTGCCTGATGCTGATCCACCTCCAATTTTTCAAGTATGGGATAAAATCTGTTTCATGGATTCCCTAGGGTCACCAGAACACAGCCCTGAAATTTAGGACTGACCTAGAAAACTTGGGACATTGGTCAGTGGGCTGATTAACTTCAGGGTGTAGTTTTGCCTATGCAGGCCTTTAGTAAAGACTTCTAGATTTTGATCCGATATTCTTATCTAAATGAATGCAAACTCTTTTGATAGCCAGGCTGGAAATCTCCTAGTAAGAGGCCTTTTCTTGCAAGATATCCAGGACATTTTGAACTGCTGCCAGTCAGTTTATAATACCACAGAGAATTTGATACCACCCAAAGTATCCCTTTGACATTCTGTTTTCTGCTCTGTCATTTCTATTTTAGGTCCCCACCACACAAGGCCTGGAAATAGAGATATACATATTAAAAAAAATAAACCAAGAAAACATAACTTTTTCAAATTTCAGAAAAAGCTCAACTTAGGGGTTAAGGTTTGGTTCTTATTTTCCTGAGTCAGGTCATTTTTCTTACTCATTACTGATCTAAAAGTCTGTGATCCCATCTTGAAGAGAAAGCAAAACACTTGTGGTAGTTTTAGATAGGTAGGATTCCAAATGACACAATTTCAAGTGACTTCAAATATAGAAACTGTTTCCAAGGAAAAAACTCAAGTAATGACATGAGACCTACAATTCCTTCCTGGTTTTACAACCTCTGTTGTTAGTAAGAAACAAGTGCCAGGCAGAAGAGGGACAAAAAGAAGCTGGCACAGGGCCATTGACTTCAGTGGAATTATGCCAGGTTGAATGTGGCAAGACTGGGAACCTGACCTGTAAACTCAGGCATGGGGAGAATGATAAGATTACACACTGGAGTGCAACCTATGGGTTCATATCGCTCAGTGTCAATGCCTTGAGCTGAAAGTCTTCTTCTTTCATCTGGCTGATGTAGATACAGAACAGCTAAGGGTAGTACTCAAGCAATTGTCCTGGATAACTATCCAGAATCTCTCCCCTCACTTATCCTGGGATATGAGTCAAGGCCAGAGTTACCTAGCTAAGCCTCTTTAATTTGCTAGTCTGGGTAACTATTGTTGATCAAAGGCTAGGGATTTAATGAAAGAAATGTGAAATCACATATTTTCCCCCTACTAGAGTTGCTGGTGCCAGCTGTTCCTAGAATAGATCTACCAGATCAGCCTGGGTTTTGTGACCCTCTAGTGAGAAAAAGCATTGGAAGAAACAGCAAAAGGGAAGAGGATAAAGACTGGATAAAATGTCCTGGTCTCAGGAACAAAGATTCTCTACCATTAAATTCATCGTGCATGTTTAAGGGAATGAGGAAAAAAGGAAAGTGAACACAAGATATGCAAAATCAGTAACGTTCAACCTGTCAGTGGATTGCAGAATAGTTAGTTACACCAGGTACACTTTGTTCATTGTACAAATTAAAAAATAAAAAAAAATATTGAGTACCCCTTTCCCCAACCACACGTAGAAAAGCACTTAAAAGTTCAAAGGTAAAGCTTGGCACACTTCAAATACGAAATGATTTACTTTACATGCAGCAAAATATACAAGAAGTGATTTTAAAACAAACTTAATTGAATTCATTATATTTGCTTGGCACAATTGCAATTCATTTAAAAAAAATATTTGAAAAATACTGAAACTGACCTGAATTCAAGTATTACGGTTTCTTCAACAGAAACATTATCAATGCAATAAAACATCACACGGAATATATTGAAGCGTAACTCCTCCTCGTTTTTGTTTTTTTTTCCCCTTGAATTTTTCTATACAGTTTTAATGCCAACACAACTTATAATTGTATTTTAAAATTAATATTATTGCATTGTTTTTGCATATCTTGTGGAACAGAAAATGGAAAGAGTTACTGATTCCCCTTTCAAAAAGCAGAGACAGTGGTTTGTTTTTGCATTCAAATAGCCCCAGATACAGATCTCCTGCAGTTAAAACCAGGAAGTGGAGAACTGCACACACTTAACACGCACCCGCGCACACACACATATACACACGCACGCTCGTTCAGTGTTGCTCATACACTCACAAATATACTTAGCACTAAAAAGAATTTAAATCAATCACTCAAATGTGCAAGACTATATCAAGTGCATTGCCTACTATCTTTAAATTATAAAACAACAACAAAAAAAGGAGGTTTCCATTACTATCAAATAAAATTACAAATTCTTGGTGTACATAATGGTTGGTAAAACTCTTCT